AAAAAAAGCCACGTGTGGTGGTGCATGCCTGTAATCTCAGCACTCTGGAGGCTGGGTTAGGAGAATAACCATGAGTCTGAGACCAGCCTGGGCTACATAGTGAGATCAAGACCAGCCTGAATTCCTGAGTGACACCTTATCTCACACAAAAATTAAAAATTAAAAATGTAGAAACTCTATGAAAAGGTTAGACTCCTTGGGGTAGCAGTAATGGCGTAAACAGCACTAATCTGTTTCCCACAGTTCTAGAGATCTTGGGTAGCCCAAGATCAAGGTGCTGGTGGAGGGCTGACCTGCCTTGCAGAAGGCAGATTCCTTTTCAAGCCCTCATACGGCTTTTCCTTGGTGTATGCACTTAGAGAAAGAACAAAAAATTTCTGCTGCTGTCCTTTAAAGACCAAGATCTAATCTGATCAGAACCTGCTCCTCTTGTTAGCTCATTTAATCTTGATCACCTCTATGAAGGTGCCACCACTAAATACACTCACATTGAAAGTTAGAGCTTCAACATCTGAACATTTGGGGTGATGCAACTATTTATTTAATATCAAGTAAAAATAGTAAATGCTATACAATACAATCAAATAAAGTAAGTTTATGGTATGTCAAATATAGTAAACTATACCTGACATAGTACATAGCACTTTTTAGGGTTACTATATGGTATGGTATGGTTAAGACAAACACAGTTTTTCTTAAATGATGTGTAAAATGTTAAGGGTAATAGACGAGATTATACAGAAGAGATTATATGTTATATAATCTAATAGATAATCTACTTCATAGATTAAACATACATGTTAAGTAAAGTGTAATGTACAACAATTATTATGTTTTTACCTCCTTTTAAACCTGGAAGTGTGTTGGAAAGTTTCCAATTAATAAACATTCTCATTTCTGTATCTTATGATTAAAAATAATGGTAGAATAAAAATTATCATACATATACTTAATTCATATCTCCTAATACTTTCTTATGGTGAATTCCTAGAAGTAAATGATGATGAATTTTGGAACATTATCAAATTTCCTTCAGGAAAGAAAAAGTATTAATTGACCCAAGTGTTAATGATGTTGGAGATTAGCAATTTTCTACCCCCATGACAATATTAAGAGTTTTCATTAATTTTAACCTTTAATTTTCATATCGTAAAGCAGCACCTCAAATGTTGTTAGCATAAACATAAGTAACTGATATTAAATTCAATTTCATAATAAAGCATGTTATTTTTATTTCCATTTAAAATATTTTATTTTTTTAAGGCTGTGAAGTGGCAGTAGACCTTCCTTTCCTTCAGATTTTGTTTTCTATTTACCTTGAAGTGCTATGAATCTACCTCAGGGTGCTGCCCTACTGCATTGTCCCTGGAGCTCCACATCCAGCTTTTTGTTTTCCAGGATGCCTAAGAGTGATCTGTCACCCCATTGTTACCGGGAAGCTTGACTTAGGAACCAGTAAACCTGAGGTTTTGTAAACATTCCCTTAAA